CTTTTTGCGTGGCCGAAGGTCGGAGATAAGTACCCACCGCCCGGCTCCTTTCGGGGGAGGAGGGAGGTAACCTCGGGCCCGCAGCGCGGGTGGGGACTTGCCCAGGCCTGCGGGGACCAGCGTGGGTGGGGACTGGCGAAAGCTGAGTGAGCTCCCGCCTCGGCGGCCCGGCGGGAACCAAGGGGCGTTGGTAGGGCTGGGAGGAGAGCGTGGGCTGGGTGTTGTCCGGCGGGCCCGGTGTCCGCTCCACAAAACCTGCTGCGTCTGGAGAGCACCAGGGTGCATGGTGCCCGCCGGAGGGCGCCCTAATTGAGTAGCTTAGTACAAAGGGCACCAACCTCTCTCCCCCAGGCTGCTTGGCCCTTTACTAGTTCTAGTGGGCTGGCTTTATTGGTGGGGCGATTGAAAAATTGGTCAAGTGTTGTCCGGCGGGCCCGGTGTCCGCTCCACAAAACCTGCTGCGTCTGGAGAGCACCAGGGTGCATGGTGCCCGCCGGAGGGCGCCCTAATTGAGTAGCAGAGTACAAAGGGCACCAACCTCTCTCCCCCAGGCTGCTTGGCCCTTTACTAGTTCTAGTGGGCTGGCTTTATTGGTGGGGCGATTGAAAAATTGGTCAAGAATGCAGGTCCTGTGCATGTAAGTACATAACCCCCCCCCCCGCTTTCTTTTTTCCGCGGCAGCCACAAGCTTGTCAGTCAACGCATGAAGAGCAGCCTGATTGTTTTGTCCTGGGAAATAGCAACCCTGCCAAATACACCTGCTTACCTGGGACAGAGGTAAACTATTTTTCTGGTTGATATCCTCAAATTTTAAGAAAAATGACCCAATTTTCTTAGGCCCAGAACCTTTCGAAACTGAACTGTATATTTCCCACCTGTTTTCCCATCTGGTGGTCTTTGTTCCTTTCATATTTTGGCAAAATTCAGAAAAATAGAATTTATACTTGTCAGTTTTTTGTGTGGTAGTTGTTTCAAATGTATTATATCCAGATATTTACGTTGGAAGGGAAGAAAGAGGCTTCAGCAGCAGTTTTTTCCTCTCGTGCCTGGTGAATTGCCAGGCTGCTGGGCCTTGTATAATAGGGTTGTGTTTTCTATGACTCTAGAGCTCTTTATACATTTGGCTTTTTAAATGCAGAATTTAATTTATATAGGCACTCCTTCCAGTAGAACTTGAAGGATCTGTTCATTAACTGGTTATATTTTATTACACAACCAGAAGATACATTATTATTAAAATATATTTGGTGCTAGGGATTGAACCTAGGGCCTTGCACATGCTAGGCAAGTGCTCTGCTGGTCACTTAAACCCCATCACCAGAAGATAACATTTCTTCAGTCTTTCCTACCTGTCCCTAAAAATACTTTTTTTGTTGGTGGGGGGAATCACTTGACTTACTAAAAACCTGCCTGCTAAGACCTTCCATAATATTAAGTTGTTCTTTTGTTCTTGTGCATTTTTGATAGGTTATTTGACCCTCCTCTTTATCGAAAGTTTTGTTCAGATATGCCCACTTTCATGAACTTTGTAGCTGAAACCCTTTGTAACATTTGCTTTGGATTCCCTGGAAATTACAGTTCTTAATACCCTCATTCTCTACATAATACCTTAAATGAGTATTTATAGTTTTCATAGTATGGTATACATGTGTAATTAAAAACCTTACATAATTTAGCAATTTACAACATTTTCACATAATATGAGGGAGTTAGTGTAAAAAAAATTTCTCACTTTATGAAGGGTAAATAGTGCTTGAACCTTGGTACGTATTGAGTAGGTTATGTGCTTTCCCCTTCACTGGCATGTCTTACAGCCTAATTTGTTTATAAAAAAAAATCAAATCATAGAATTTTAGAAGAGCTATGATTAAACTCCATTTTATGAGGATACTGATTTTATTTTTTAGATGCTGGAGATTGAGCCCAGAGCCTTGAGCATATGAAATACATGCTGCACCACTGAGCTACATCCCTACCCTTTAGAATACTGGATCAGATAGTGCTAAGGTCTAAGAATTGGAGAACTCAGGTTCTGTTCCTAGCTGTGTATAGTTGAGAGGTCTTCACAGGGAGGAAGGGCCAGTATTTTTAAAATTAGGTGTTTAGCTAGATGAGTTTAAGTGCAGCACTTTTTTCATTCCTAACCCTTTTATCATCTTTTCTTAAGATACATATCGGTAATTTGCAGATGCATACTAATATTCAGTGCTTTAAACTATTTTATATTTTAAAGTCAGGTAAGTATAGTAAGTGTCTTGTTCTTAGTTTTTTTACTAAGTTCTATAAAAGTATGATTTTGTTGCATGAAGAGGGGAGGTGCTCATACATGATTTGATTTTTTTAAAAAATTCAAACATTGGGGTAGGGGATTTAGCTCAGTGGTATTACGCCTGCTTTGCAAGTGCAAGGTCCTGAGTTCAATCCCTGGTACCAAAAAAAACAAAAACAAAACAAAATATTCCAATGTATGATAGGCTTTTGGTTTAGTACAACTTAGCATAATTTATGAAATTATGTCTGTGAAATAAGTTTCAGTATTTACCATCTAGTTACCTGATAATTTAGGTACTCTTGAAATTCCTAAATTTGAAGATTCTTCAAGGAAAGATGGAAGTTTAGTTTAAATCTAAAATAAGGGGTTTAGGGTGTGGTGCAGTGGTAGAGTGCTTGCCCTAACATGCCTGAAGCCTGGGGAGATTTTTAAGCTACAAAGCCTAATTTATTGGCTTTTTCTTTTTCTTTGCTAATATGAACTGAAAGAAAGCAAAGATAACATTTTCAAAAACTATGATAAGTAATAGGAATCCTTTTTTAAAAAAAATTAATAGATATTGTTATGGCTTTTATTTAGATGTCCTCCCCAAAAGCCTAATGTGTTCATAGGTGGGGCTTTTGGAAAATGACTGGGTCTAGGCTGTGTGAATATGGATAAAGGACATGATACTGGGATTAAAGGTGTGTGATACTAAATTATTCCACTGATTAGAGTTAGCATATTTCTGGGTGAGGCTGAATGGATTTCCTGAAGACAAAAGCCTCATCCTGGGTGTGGATGGGTAGCACCACCCAAAAGGCTTATAGCCTGGATGGGATGAAAGGGAAAAGTAGGCTTGCTGATTGCTGCTGCTTGCTGCTTCACTTTCTCCTACTTGCTATGCTGTGAAATATTTCTTCTCTGAGATACCCCTCTGCCATGTCACTCTGCCTTGGAGCCAGGCAACTATGGACTGAGACCTCTACAAACTGTGAGGTTAAATAAATTTTTCATCTTTTAACTTTTGGGTTTTGGGTATTTTGTCTCAGTGACAAGAAAAGTAACCAAGACAGATGTCTTAAGGAGAATATTAATTAAAGAGAGTATTATATTTAAGAGTGATTTTATGAGTGAATAAGCTGGGCACTGTGGTACATACCTGTAATCTTAATTGCTTTAATCTTACTGCTTGGAAGGCTGAGGCAGGAGGATTACATGTGCAGGGCCAGCTTGGACTACATACAGAGACCTTGTCTGAAAAAAACATTATGAGCACTTTTATAGTGCATTTGTTTGGGGCTGGTCATTTAAAAATTTAAAAATTGTGAGAGACTAATACATACCTACTGTTTTATGACTCATTTCCTGTGTATTAGTTTTTTACATTTTTAATTTGGTATTTATAATTCTTATTTGTAGAAGTGCTTCTATACTCAAACAGTATAAAATTGATAAAAAAATTTTTGTAGTCTTGGCTGGATAGCTTGATAGTTTAAAAATCTCTGGTACTAGCCGGGCGTTGTGGCGCACGCCTGTAATCCCAGCACTTGGGAGGCTAAGGCAGGAGGATCGCTGAGTTCGAGATCAGCCTGGGCTACATAGTGAGTTCCAGGTCAGTCTCAACTACATAGTGAGACCCTGTCTCAAAAAAAAAAAAAAATTCTCTGGTACTGGTAAGCAGTTATGCATTCATCAAAAATAGAACTGTACATTCTACTGAATTTTATTGTATATAATTTAAAAACTATTAAAAACAAGTATGGTAGGAAAATGAGGTTGACTTCTATGAGGTGGTAGACAACTAATATATAGCTATTTTAATTGTTGCTATGAAATGGGAAATTTCTAATTTGGAAGAAATAGATTTGTTTGCCTCAAAATTGAGACCTTTATTTAGAAACATAACTATCTTTTAAATTATATATAAGTCAAGATTTGTAAGTGGTATTGCTAAAAATGGAACAAGAGGGACGTTGTAATTTTGATGCATTTTTTTTGCAAGCGCAAGGACCCGAGTTCAATCCCTGGTACCAAAAAAAAGAGAGAGAGAGAGACTTTTCAAGTAGTATTTTTCCTCTGTGGTTCATTTTAAGAGCTGTAAGTTGAATATGACTTTGGGGTGACTGTTACTTTCTTATGTGTGACATTTCCCTTTTGGCTTTTGGTAATACTTGATTGCCTTAAATTTCTTCTTGACCCTGTTAAGAATATACTTCATTTTCTTTAAAGATTTCTTTCCCTTGGGTGGACTTTTACCTAAGCATGATTTGTAAATAAGCATTGGTGACTTGAAAAATACTAGTTCACTGTGTTATGCAGATCTCTAAAGTTTTTACTTACTCTATTGTGCAGTATTCCCTTCCAGTAAAATAGCTTTCATATTTATTAATTTATTTCTTATCTAAGAGAATGTCTTAAAAGTGGGAAGCTGTCAAGCTTATAATGGGAGATGTTTTCCAAAATTCTAATTTCATATGAAAACCCAACTTTTTTCATTGGCAAAAAATACTGTCATTTTTTTCCCCTTGAAGCAGCACAACTGACTTTATTCATTTTGGAGAAAATATCTGTCAGATAACCTAAATCTGAATAGCTAGTTTGTCATGTGTGCCTTCAAGTAAAAATGGTATTCCATAAAAAAGGCAGCTGGTTTATCTTGCAACTCAGTCACATAAGTACTTTTGCTCCAGACACCATCTGCTGGTAGGCAGAAGTGCTTTTATATGTACCTCTTGTCACATAAAATATTTAAAAGATATGCACACAAGCTTCGAGATTCAACAAAATGAATAGTTTTTGCTGCTTCATCAAAGATATTTTCAAATGAAACTGGCGCCCCTCACCCCACTTAGTGTGGTGGTGAAGAATGTGTTGGTACACTTTACTGCTTCTTACTGCCTTGCTCCTGTTAAGCCTCCAACAGTATCTACCCAGCAGTGCTTTTATACTGTTGATGCAAATGTGAGCAAGGTACAAAATTATGAATGTGATTGTGACCTCATGGATCCCTAAAAGGAGACAGCCAGGTTTCTGCCCATTATATTTGAGAATTGAGGCTGAGAATGATACAGGATGGCTTGGATTGCTGTTTTGGTAGTTCAAAAATCCACCACCCAAAAATTCATTTAATTTTCTAGTCAAGAGTGAATTGCAACTTTCATGCTTTGTACAAGTGATTTTAATACCTGTGATCTAGTCTTTGAGAGATAGAAAAATGTGCCAAATCCTGGTAAGTTTATATGAGAGTACATGCTTAGCTTTATATTTTGGTGCCTCTTTTAAATAGCATACTATTTTACATTTGTGGGCCCAAAGTAAAGAGCTCATTCTATTACAAACACTGAGCAGCTTTGTTTCTGATAGCTAGTAGTCAGCTCTCTGTTTTAAAACAATCAGTTGAGTCCTGCTGGTTCAACTTGCACTTGTCCTACTCTTAACCCTGTCTTAGCCAAAGACTGCTATGGGGAAGTCCACACAACGGCCCTTTATTAATGTGGAGCAAGTTCTCATCCTCCCGAAGCCTGCTGTGGTGTGCATTCCCTTCCCACATTTCTCACTTCCTTTGTTTGGCTGGTTATTTCAGATTATCTTAATGTGAAGATAGCTTCTAATTATTATACAGTCCTACTGGAGGGGATTCCTGGAATAAAATAAAATGTTTTTTTCTCTGTGGTAGGATGTGATGGAGCTGCTTGAAGAAGACCTCACATGTCCAATTTGCTGCAGTCTGTTTGATGATCCTCGAGTTTTGCCTTGCTCACACAACTTCTGCAAAAAATGCTTAGAAGGTCTTCTAGAAGGGAATGTGCGGAATTCTTTATGGAGACCATCTCCATTCAAGTGCCCTACGTGCCGTAAAGAAACTTCAGCTACTGGAGTTAATAGCCTGCAGGTTAATTACGCCTTGAAGGGTATTGTGGAGAAGTACAACAAAATCAAGATCTCTCCCAAAATGCCAGTGTGCAAAGGACACTTAGGGCAGCCTCTCAACATTTTTTGCTTAACTGATATGCAGCTGATTTGTGGAATCTGCGCTACTCGTGGTGAGCACACCAAGCACGTCTTCTGTTCTATTGAAGATGCCTATGTTCAGGAAAGGGATGCTTTTGAGTCCCTCATTCAGAGTTTTGAGACCTGGCATCGGGGAGATGCTCTTTCTCGCTTAGATACCTTGGAAAGTAGCAAGAGGAAATCCCTACAGCTACTGACTAAAGATTCTGATAAAGTGAAGGAGTTTTTTGAGAAACTACAACATACATTAGATCAAAAGAAAAATGAAATCCTGTCTGACTTTGAGACCATGAAACTTGCAGTTATGCAAGCATATGACCCTGAGATCAACAAACTCAACACAATCTTGCAGGAGCAACGAATGGCCTTTAACATTGCAGAGGCTTTCAAAGATGTGTCAGAACCCATCGTATTTCTACAACAGATGCAGGAGTTCAGGGAGAAAATCAAAGTAATCAAGGAAACTCCCTTACCTCCCTCTAATTTGCCCACAAGCCCTTTTATGAAAAACTTTGATACCAGTCAGTGGGAGGATATTAAACTAGTAGATGTGGACAAACTTTATTTGCCTCAAGACACTGGCACATTGATTAGCAAGATTCCCCCGAACTTCTGTCTGTTACTTGTGATAGTCCTTCTGCTTGGCCTCCTCATTTTCTTTGGTCCTACCATATTCCTAGAATGGTCTTTATTTGATGAATTGGCAACTTGGAAAGACCATCTTTCAAACTTCAGTTCTTATCTGACTAAAACAGCTGATTTTGTAGAACAGTCAGTTTTTTACTGGGAAGAAATGTTAGATGGGTTTTTCTTTTTCAGTGAAAGAGTCAAGAATTTTACCTTGGTGGTGCTGAATAACGTGGCAGAATTTGTGTGCAAATATAAACTATTATAACATCTCAACTATGTAGTTCTCTGCTTTTTAATAGAAATTGTTAGAGAACAGAGGAGTAATTCAGAATTTGGGCAAGATTCCAGACAGGTATTTTTCTCCAAAAGTATTCCTTTCAAAAATAATGTCCCATATACACTGAACTAATTAGGTAGCATAAAAATATAGTAGTATAGACCTGAACCTTTTTCCTTTCTAAAGAGTGCTTTTAAAATAAATACCCCTTGCCCCATGTTGCTGTGTTTTTTCTGTGATAAAAATTGGAGGTGAAAAAAAGTGGAGGTAAGCATGTCTATAGTCCCAGCCACTGGAGGCAGAGGATCTCTAGTGCCCAGGAATTCAGGACCAACATGGGTAACTCTATCACAAGACATAGAAGACAAAGGGAGAAGAGAGAATATCTGATCTAGTATTCAACTGACGAGGTAGGACACCTAGTAGTGATTGTTCAGGCATGCAGTGAAGACTAGTCTTATGAAGCAACTTTTTTGGGACAGTGAACATTCTTTTTAAAAACAATGTGAATAGATTGGATTTCTAAGGCTTTATAGAGGGTTGATTCTCACCAAAATATAAATTTTATGTAATCAAAAATGACTTTTTTTTCTGGTAAGTTTACATTCCCCCCACCCCCCACCCCCCAGGATAGAGATTGAAACTTATCATTTTCTCCTTTGTTTTGTAAATTTTTCACCAAAGGTGATAAACTGTGTAAGTGTTGAGTGGCTTTGTGAAGGTGAAAGTTTCTTAAAAAAAGAAGACCCAACACCTGCCAGCAGGAATAGGAAAGCCACCTTTATACTGGCAGCTAAGTGTTGTGGTTTTATTTTAAATAATCCGCAGTGGGCTGGGGATTTAGCTCAGTGGCACCGTGTACAAGGTCCTGAGTTCAATCCCTGGACTGCCGCCCCCCCCAAAAGCAACATTTACAACCAAACCACTTGCTTCCAGAATTTGAGGTGTAGTAAGACTAATTTGACAGATGAAATTGTCAGCTATTATAAAATACAGAGTGACCAGTGAACACTGATTGCTGTCCTATCTGCTCACATGAGATAAAGATGCTCACAGAATAAAAATAATTTTCTAAATTTGCTTAGAATTAAGACGAAAAACAAAACAACCTTAGGAACTACTTTGTGTCTTGGAAAAGACCTTCATTTGAAAGCCTATTAAGTGGAGTAGAATTTCAGAGAAAAGAATGTCTTTAATCCTTGAGGAGGAGGTAAGCAAGGGGTGGGAAGTGGCAAATAAATTCAAAGTACAGGGGAAATTTCCTCATAGTGATGAGAAGTCAAAAGCTGCTAGGTGAGATAATGGCTGCCTCATTACTAACAAATTATTTGTGATTTAGCCACGAAATTGTTAAGGAAACCATCAGAAGTTTAGATAATGTTTCTCTGTAAATCTTAGCTCTGCTGTGAAGATTCATAGTAGATAAGTCTGGGGAGACAAAATGCTTTTTTCCCGGTAATTTTTTTTTTCAATATAAGATATCAGGGCACCATGGAGATGTTTCAGTTTAATATTTTTTGTTTGACACATGGCCTCACACATGCTAAACATGAACCTTACTACTGAGCCACACCTCTAGCCCAAGAATATAGTACAAGGATCTGACATCAGTCAAGATATATTGACAGTTTCCTAGTTAAACTATTCAGTTTCATATATTGATTTTTGGTTTTGTATCCTGCAAGTTCCTAAGCAACTCAAATCTGCAAACAGCTATGGATACACTGTGTGTCCTACAGTGGTTGTGTAGCAGTCTAGGTCTTGGAGAGCTTTGTTGTTCTCCCCTCCCTGCCATTTCTTAAGCATGTATAAGCAGCAGCATTTATAGTAATTGGTTTGTAGACTCTAATTTGAAGCTAGGCAAAAGTTATCAGGAACTGGTCACTTTGAACATGGGAGGGAACATATTCACAACAAGGCTTTGGACCATAAAGCATTTTCCTGCCTTGGTTGGCACAAATGTTAGATGGCAGATGGAGAATTCAAGATGGTGACCAGATTTTTGTGGACAGAGATGGTGTTTTATTTAGTTTCATCTTAGTTTTTTGAGAACTAACCAACTGTTGTTACCCACCACCTCTCAGATTATTTTAGGCTTCAGAGAGATGCTCTTTTCCATGAACTCTATTTGAATTCTTAAACCAGCACCTGCTGCAGCTGAGACTTGTCTTGAAGGTGCATTTCCCAAGCCAAAACACTCAAACTCTTTGCAGTGTTTGACTCTTGCAGCAAAATAATTGAGATGCTAACTGGGAGGATTACAGTGTTTACTGAGCAACCTGCAGTATCTACTTGCAGCAGTGACTCCCATCTCAGATGATCTTATTCCTGTTGCCTCCATAAAGACTTTCTTACCATGACCTGGTTTTCTGTTGTGGCTCTGACAGCACTGCTGAAAAACAGATGGAATCAGGTATTTTGTACTTTGAAGTATGTTTTTACTATTCCAGTTGCTACTATTTTGCCTTATAACTGAAAGTCCCTCATGCCTAAAACTTTTTGGAAAAAGTTTATTCACATTAATGTTTTATGGTAACCTGTGAAGTTGAGTTAGAATGACTAAATATTTCCTTAACCTGGACACTTTTCAGAATAAAAGGGGACAATAGGAATTACGTGGGATAATAGGAATAAACCAAGCAAGGCTGCCTAGAGAAAACTGGCACAGTGGTTGTCCAGGTTATAATAATTTTATAGACTTTATTCTGTTGCTAATGATTGGGCTTAGAAAGTTTTTCAGATATTATTGGCTTATTTATAGGAATGGCTCAGTTTCTCCTAATTTCCTTATACACTATATTCTCCTAGTGCTTATAATTTGAACACTGATTTTTTTCTTCAGGGAGAAAAATATTGTTAAATATCCTTAAAGGAAGATATATTACTAGGCAAATTTGGTGTCCTGTTACATTCTTGGCTCTTAACTCAAAAAGTTGGGATAAGCTGTCAGTATGTTAAAGATAGCTGTTCTTGAGTCAATTACTCACTTTCTCCCTCTGTTGTTCTTGGCTGGATCCTAAGGCTGATTTCCACCTTTCCTCACTCCCATGAAAAATGTCTTAAGGCTGTTCTACCATTATTTTGCCAATTGTGAATGCTAGTTTTAATTTTTAGGAGGAAAAAAAAGCTTGCATGTGTTTGATACTCATTTAAAATAAACACTTTTATAATGGTAAACATATGTTAGAATACTTGCTAAATGAGCAGTAGTCTTCAGAAAGGATGCCATGTCTACCTTTCCCACAACACACCCCTTGGTCTTGTTTACTAAATGGTAAACACTGGGCAGTACGAACATACATATATTATACTTATTAAAGTATCCTTTTAAAGTTGAAATGTCATTTTGGGAAATGGGAGCCAAATTAATAGGCTGATTATGAAGAAAATTTAAAGACCTGATCTTTTTCTCAGACTTTTAATTCGGTGCACAGCTTTAGAGAGGGATACTTAAAGGAAAAATGACCCAATTATTTGATAAAGGATCAGGCATAGTGGTGCACACCTACTACACTTCAACACTTTGGAAGGTTCAAAGTCAGCCTGGGCTACCTTGACAAAGAGACTGTCTTAAAAGAAATAAAAGATAAAGTGATTATGACCTCTCTTCAGATCCCCTTTCAAAAAGTTAGAAACCCAGGAGAAAACAATGTCATTGGTTTATTTATTTTTGGTACCAGGGATCGAACTCAGGTCCTTGAGCTTTCGAGGCAGGCGGCAGAACCATTGAGCTACATCCCCAGCCCAGTGTCACTGATTTTAAGAAGAAAAATACTAGATTAAAAAAAAAAATCATAGCTAAATGTGCTTTAAAAACTGCATTTGGATACATTAACTGTGGTGTGTGTTTAGCTGGGAATCAAACCCAGGGCTTTGTGCCTGCTAGGAAGGCAGTCTTATCACTGAACTACCTACCTTGCCCTAATAGTAATTTTGAAAACATTAGAAACTGAAATTGGACTGTTATTGTGTATACACAGTGTCAAATGGTTTCCTGTTAAGTGCTGTTATAGAAACAATTTTTTAAAAATCTTAATATGAGAAAGGCATTATAATTAAACTTCAACAAATAATTTTTATTTTTTCAGTACCATATGATATTCTTTTTAGTTGTTTTAAAATCAAATTTTTATATTCTGTGTCTATAATTTTTTTATATTATGCTGGTTTCAAAGTACAGGTTATCTTAATGAAGTGACAGTATGGGGATCTATGGTGATTGGGTGAAAAGTTTGGTGTTAAAAGGCCCATACTACAGCCTAATTAGCAGTATTTTAAGGTTTTGCTCACTCCCTGGTCTGAATCTATTCATGTGTTTTTGGAAAGTGGGATGTGGTGGAGTAAGCCTGAAGTGGTCCTAATAATTTAATGTATTATCATCTAGCTAATGCACTATGCCCACCAGTTCGATTTATCACTCTGCGGTCTTGTTAACCTAGGATTTGCTCATTTATTATCATTTAATTTCATAGTGCTAGAAATATTGGGCCAGCATCTTTCAGATGGTCATTTATGTGATAGCATGTTATCAAGCACAAGTTATAGTTATATGCTTCTAGAGTCTCTTTGGTAGCCTTTATTCTATCTGGCCTCTCTTTAAGATGGATCAAAAAGAAAAATGTAGTTGCCTTTAAAAGTTTTTAGTGTGCACCCCCCCCCCACGGGATTGAACTCAGGACCTTGCACTTTTGAGGTAGGTGCAATGTCACTGAGCTAAATCCTCAGCCCGCCTTTAAAATTTTTAAAATAAAGGTCTGATATACTTCAGTGGTGTAATACCTGCCTAGGATGCTGCAGGACCTAGGTTCACTCTCCATCATTTGCATTTGTTTTAGTCCATTCTTTTTTGGTGCCTTGGAATCTTCTTGTTCAGTTTGGCTTCACAGGGAATCAGTGTACTTTCTTTTAAGTACATTCTACTTTGGTACACCTACTATTTACTATTTGTATATTAATTCTTTTGTGATATTCTACAACACTTTCTGATGTTTCCCAAGATCTGGACCTTGGGAAAAAATGATTAATTAATATTAAACATATATCAAGCAATAAACTTTTTTAGTAATGTGCTTTGTATTTTGATAATTCTTAGATTTTATTATTAATTGTCTTCTTTACCAAGAATGGGTTGCTAAATGTGTGGCACAATGACCATGCCATTGTGTTCATGATCATTAAAAGGGGATGTTCGTTCCCAAGCATCTTTTTGCCTTATAGACTATAGACAGTTTATGTTTTTACCTCAAACTAGATTAGATTTCTTTTCTTCACATTTCATAAACAGTGGGGGAATACAGATAACTTCCTTGATGGCAGATAAGGAAGGAGTTATATAGCTACACATCTATGCAGTTGTGTTATACTGACATTAAAGCCAACATATAGCCAGTCTGAAAAGTTCGGGAATTCTTTTTTTTTTTTCTGGTACCGGGGATTGAACTCGGGTCCTTGCGCTTGCAAGGCAGGCCACTGAACAGCTGAGCTAAATCCAGGGCCCAAAAAGAAAGAAATCTTGACATTTTATATCTGCAAAATTTTACCTGAGAAGTGGGTTTGGCAGGAATAAGTCACACAAAAAATCATGTCAGTGTTAACAACTGGTAAAATAAGATCTGTGGAAATTACTGTAAATGTACAAAGTATTCATTAAATTGATTAAATCAATTTGATCAATTAAATTGATTAAAAGTAGCAAATTATAAACTAAAATATTGAAAATAGCTAAATTATATAAAAAATTAGGCCAATTTAGTTTGATCAAATTACTTGCTCTGAAACATAATTTTTCAATTAAAATTTATCAATGTTGATTACATTCCTAAATGTGGAATTGAAATGACTTTGGAAATTGCATTAAGGTCTCTCTTTTCAGTATCCCAAATTACTGATTTGGATTTATATATGAAGTTTCAAAAAAGTCTGCTTGAAAAGTGTCTTTGTTGAAAGTTAGAAGTAAATTTATGTGTATTTGTGCTATTAAAGTGATGCTTTACAATTATACTTTTTGTATCTGTCCCCGGGTATGTTTCTATAAAACCTGATACCAATAATTGGCCAACAGAACAAATGTCCTTGGCTTAGTGATTGACAGTTTGTTAAAAGAAGGTTTTCATCTGGTTAATACTAGAACAATATCCTCTGAAGACAAAAATGAATGCTACAGCTTTGCAAGCATAAAAAAAGCTTTGAAGCCCTCACCATGAATAAAACAGGAATCCCAGAGACTATCATGACGCCAGAGCAACCTGAGAAAAGGAAATGAAGTCATTTCTCTTAAAGGGAATCTGCCATTTTCTTGTTTGAAAATCCTGTATTTGGAGCATATATGTTAGTCAAATCTGTACTCAACTTTTTGTCCTCATACTCTATCATGCCATCTCTGGGCAACTCGGCCCCAGTAGTACTTAAGCCACATCGAACTGCCTCCTGCTTTCTAAAAATCACTATACTTAGTGCTTTGGCATATGTTCCTTAACATCCAGTGCCTCTTTCCCTTTCAGAAATGGGCTGTAGAGTCAGAATGCTTATTTCTAATTTCTGCTCATTTATTAGTTATGTGATTTAGATAAGTCATTGAAAATCTTTGTGTTTCAACATATTCACCTATTAGGGATAATAGAGATATCTCTCTCATAGGATATGTAGGGATTAAGGGATTCAAGTGTTCATGTTGGTGGCACATGATAGGCATTCACTAACTGTTAGTGATGAGGATGATGATGAAAATGGACAACCATTTTCAACTGCATCTCTTAAGTGAGACCTTGCTTTCTTCCTTTCTTAGGAATATTAATCAACTTTGTTGTTTTTGTGTTGCTGGGGATTGAACCCAGGGTCTCATACATGCCAAGCACATACTCTACTACTGATGTATACCCCTAGCCACCCTTCTGTATAGAATTATATATTGTCATAAAAGCAAGTTTTTCCTGAATATAAGCTTCAAAAGGTTTTAATATTACTGTGTGTAAAGTACTGTGCCAAACACTTGGTGAGAGCAATAACACTTTTTTAAGTAGTTAGTACCTAAATTTGGTGAAAAGCTTTAGAATAGCCTCTACCAACATTAAAATACACATATTCTTTGATTTAGTTTCTCTTCTAGGTGTTATATGTCATTTTAACTACTAGGATAAAATACCTAGAAAGAGAATCACTAAGTCAAACAGCACTAAACACTTTGCAGACAATAAAAAGTTAAATGGAAGCACTTAATACCATTTAAAAGTATATAATTAATTTATTCAAAAATATTTTTGATATTGATTATACTAGATTTTTAGGATTATAAAAAGATTAAGACAAAAATCTTTATTCTGGAGTAGCTTATATTCAAGTAAGAAACTGCATCAAAGTTCAACATGAAATGGGTATCTTATGATTCATATTATGAAGTATTATGCAGTCCATAAAAAGAATGAGACAGAGTTTATAAAGTAATAAGGAAGGACTGTCAAAATATGTTCCAAGTGGGGTAAAAAACCTCCAAGTACAAAACTGTATCATGTATAGTTTCTGTTTATGGAAAAAATATGAACATTTAAAAATAAATGCATAGAATTCAGCAATGATAGAAGTTAACTGTGGAGGGGGAACTGAGTGAGTGAGACTCAGGTAGGTATGGGAGGAAGATCTACTTTTCATGAGACAATATGGATGTATACCTATTTCTTAAAAAGCTATACCTGAAAATGTGTGTGAAGAGAAGTGGGAAGGCTCTTATGGCATGGGATGACCTATTGTTTCTCCTAGTGATACAGAGTTTACTCTAGCACTTAGTAATTAAGTTGAAATTTCTATTGGTTACTTACAGATTTTTGGTAAAAAAAAGATGTAAAATTCTTGACTGAAACGCTATAAGAATAAATTTTTTGTTTTGTTTTGTTTTTGGCAGCTTAACTCTTTCTGCAGAAAAGCCAAGTTAGCTGTTTTAGTTTTGGATATACTGTGTTTGGTCTACTTCTCTTGGTGACGTCATATGATAGAGCACAATATTTCTATTCTGATAAAATTTTGCCATTTATATAATTTAACTAGTTGAGTAAATCGGCATTGTTTAATTCTGTATGGTGCTTTGCTGATAAGACCATTAAAATTGATTAGTGATTAAAAAAGTACTGAAGTAAACAATGTTGTACCTGCAATTTGGCAAGGAATAATATAGGAAATGTTTAAACTGCTATTAATGTAAACTTAGTCATTTATATTTACAGGAAACAGGGGCTGGGGATTTAGCTCAGTGGTTTGGTGGCCTGCCTTGCAAGCACAAGGACCCAAGTTCAATCCCTGGTACCAAAAAAAAACAAAACAAAAAACATTTACAGGAAACAATTTTGAGATTAGAAATAAAATGTTCTCTTAAATGAGCTAATAGAAATATATTACCTATAGAAACATAATATACTTAACATTCAATTCATTAAATTTTTATGGGCATGGGACCAGGGATTTAGCCCAGTGGTTCTGCCACCTGCCTCGCAAGCACAAGGTCCCAAATTCAATCCCTGGTACCCCCACAAATAGTTATGGGCATGTACTATGTGCCAATACTATTCTCAACATTGTAGATCCTTCTTGCACAGAATAAAAACATTCTTGCCCCTGTAGGGCTTACCATAAATACGATTCATAATATTGACAATGAGTTTAAATTAAAACAGGTTTTTCAAATATTTTCTCAAATGTCATGAATTCATAGGTAGAGTTTTTTAGGAGATATCATGATTTTAAAAAATATATTCATTAGGGAGAGCAGGTAGAATTTATTTCAGAGGCTAATTCATCTGGAGATACATCTGTCAATATCATCTCAGTATGCCTCTTGTGTTCACTCCTAACTATATTAGTGCAACACTGTACCTGGGATGTTTAGACATGCAAAGAAATTAAGTCTTGTTTTGGAATGGAAGACAGGTAAATGGAGTTTGATGAAAAGAGGAATAGTTTATATGCACCACAGTCAAAAACAAAAATCCCAAAAGGGGGAAGAAAAAGGGTGAGGAGGGGGAAGAGTGGGGTGGAGAGAGGAGGAGAGAGAGCGGTTGATTGATTTTCATATGGACACCAGTTAACTTTTTTTATTTGGTGCTAGGGATCAAACTCAGGACCTCCTGCATGCTAGGCAAGAACTCTACCATTTAGCTATGTCCGCAGTCCTACCAATTAACTCTAACTTCTTGACTGACTTAATTTGTCTGTTTTATTTTTTTTTTCTGTTAAGTTTATTGGTACATTTAAAGCAAACAATAGTTACATTTATCATTGGGATCTTGTACCTTTACTTGATATGTCTTGGTTCTTATTTTTTCCCCATACCCCTCCCCTCCCTTCATCCCCTTCAGCCTTCCCTATTGTCTGTTTTAAGTTATAAGAAAATAATGACAAGCCCGTGTTGGCCAACTACACTGAAAACGTTGTTCTAGTAATCAGATGTCCAAATCATCACAGTGCCATTTTGTTGGTCCTAACAGTAATGTTGGGGCCTCCTCTATTCTCTCACTTGTGTTATGTTTGTTTCAATTTCTTTACATTACCAACAAGGACAAGGCAAGAAAGATTTTAACTTAGAATCCCCCCTTTTTTTTGTTTAATTGAGAGAGTCTTGCTACGTAGTTCAGGTTGATCTTGAACTCACTATATAGCTATCCCAGGCTGGTAGCAAACTCAAGGCAATCTTCCTGCCTCAGCCTCTCAAGTGCTGGGATTATAGGCATACACCACCACATTCAGCTTAGTTTGGGATTTCTGAAACAGTAATTTATAAGGGATTGGAAGTACTTCATAGAAAGATTTTCTGAAAAGGAAATCTAGTGCTAAATGCACTCTTGAATATATGTCATAATTACACAGAGTTCTTAGGAAATGGTAAAGTTGGAATAAATTCAAGCTGTGTTTAAAATACACCTGAAATCTGGATCTTGAAGTAGTATATAATGGTTGAGGGAAACAAGTGTGAGAAATTTATGGTTTAGAACAGTGATGGCAAACCTTTTAGAGCTTTCAGTGATATCAAACAGCACACAAACCATAGGTTGGCCACTACTAGTTTAGGGAATCATCTATTTCTAACTTCCTTGCATACCATTTACATCTAATAAACTTCTGCTTTTTTTATAAGCCTTTGTTCTGATTCTCTAAAATAATAGAAATAGTTA